ACGTTGTAGGGCTGTCTGAGCTCTGAGTGCCCTGAAGGTTTTATCAGGAGGAATACCAAGTAGTTTCAGGTGATTTTGCACCAACCATCCTGGGCATAAGCAGTCTTATGGTTCCCAGAGTATCAGTTGTATTTGTGTGTTCACCATAAAAATGTGAAAGCTTCCTTCCCATTCAGTTTGGAAACATGGGACAAAGTAAGATTCACCTGTAGGCGTTCAGAGCGCTGTATTCCTGCTTCATGAGCAGCGAAAAAGACACAGTGTGGAAAGAGGGATTTGAGTCTGTGCCATCTTGTGTTTATTTTTGTTTTCCTTTTTAAAATGTGAATGGTTAATGATCTGTTCTGAATCATAATGGTTTATGATGTTTCCTGTTATCTTAGTGATAGACTACAAAACTGTTCTTACATTAAGGGTTTATAAACTCTACTAGATACTTATTTAATTAAGAGCCAATGCTGAGAGTTTCTAATAAAATTTCCAAAAGAGTTTTAGTGGCTGAGGAGACAAATTTCTAGCAGCCTATTTTAGTAATGCAGATGAAGGGAATGCTTTCACAGCGCTGTGCAAAGCCTGACCAGGGTGGATTTTGCTCCCCAGGTTGCAGTTCTGCTCTGTACCAGCTTGATCCCAGTTGTACCAGCCTCCCAGATTGAGCATTTCTCTGCTGCTCTGTGAGCTTTATTTGGAGTTTTATGTTCTACAGTAAAAGCAAAGGTGAAAGTTCTGCATTGAAAGAAGAGTTTAAAAGCTTACTGTGGTCTAGTATCCCTACTCTCATCTCTGTTCTCTTGCCTATGGCCCTGCCTCCCTTCTGCTTTGTCCACCAGCTCTTAGTGTTCTCTCCTGATGAATTTTTTGGAGACTTTTGAAGATTGCTTTCACCAAACTTTATCTGTCTAAATAGTTAGACTTCTAATGCAAACTTGTAGACCTTACAAATTTTCTTCTCCCATGATGAAACATGCAGACTTTCAAGCTCATTAAAGTTAGATGAAAAAGTATACACGGGAGAAGTGTCAAAAAAAAAGAGATTATTTTCCAGTCTGTTGCAGAGATGCTGTGAGAAACTGGACTATTAATGATTAATGACTCATAGCATTTGCCCATTTGTGGAGGTGTCAGGGTACTTTGCAGAGGCCAGGTTTGCTTCTCTCGAGGGAGGAGGTGAGTTTTTGGGAGTACATATACTAGTCTGCACGAGACAGAAGAGGTGAACTGTCAAAGCCTGGGTCCTTTGAGGGGAGATGGTGCTTCTTGCTATGCTAATTGCTCTTCCTTATATAGCTCCCTCAGTTGTTAAACTGCCCTCTTCCCTGGGGGAAGATCTGGAGCATTATTGGCTCAAATGAGAGGCAATCCCTGCGAAGGGATCATAAATTATCAAAGACTCCCCAGACTCACTTCTGGGGCCTTACGCCAGAGGAATGAAAGTTTCCCCCCACTCAGGGGAGGTACCTGGGCATTCCCACCGAGCCTGAGTATATTTTAACCCATTGGACTATGTGACATTTCATTCTAATCCACTCCAAGAGATGCATTAATAAGAACCTGGGTTACACTCCCCTTGCTTACCGACCTTCCAGCACACTGACAAGTGTACCAAAAAAGTGAGGACAGACTGAATTATCACCATCCTTAAAGGTACAGTTGCCCATGCCATTTTCCTTCTGTTGGGAGGGCAAAACCTGTCAAAGAAAATGTGCGTAAGCACCAGCATTGATGGGACATTTGGTTGCTTGGTTGAACATCTATACACGAGGAATTTCTGTATGTAGCTTAATGTACAGTGGCTGGTACTTCTTCAGAATGTTTGGGATTTTTTCTCCTCTGGAAGCAGTAGCAAAACAAGGGGACCCTTGGCCATTAGTTTCCTTTAAAAGAGCATTCACTATTCACAAACCAAGTTTGACAAATCAGTTTTCCTGTTTGAAATATTCTGACTCTTGCGTTGTTACAACAAGTGTTGTAATAATAATAATAATAATTAAAGCCTGTTTTTACTTATGTTTTTATTCAAGTCATGCAAAGAATACATACCTTGGTTTTAGAGAAAGTTGGATTCAAGCATTCTGACTGTGTCTTTTTAAATATTAGGATAGAAATAAATGGTGAGAAAATTGTCTTTGCAATTTTCAAGCCATTCTAGGTGTACTTTGTTGCCTCCAGCCAGATGCTGTCTGATGATACTTAGATGAACCAGGCAAACCATTATCCTGGGATTAAACACTAAATACCTGCAAGGAGCATTTTCTTTATCAGATTGTGCTCTGTTAGCAGAGTTCATTCACTTTATTGCATATATAACTATGGTGTCAAATAGACTGATTTACAACACCTGGTCTTTTACATAATCTTTGCTATTTGCTGTGCTTGTAATCTGCCAAATCATTTAGCCTTCCTGATAGCAGAAATGCTGTAAAACTTAGATAAACTTGCAGAAGAAATGAACTCGAAGGTACTGCTGAAATCTAGGGCCTGCACGTTTGCTGTAACTGCACTGGCTGGTTTGGTTTCCCTTGCCTAATCTGTGATTGCATATGGCTGCTGGACAAATTGAAATTTTATGATAGCACTACCGTCAAAGGAGATAAGCATTTATATGCTAGACTAGATTAATCTAAAAAGAAGTTTTAGTTGTGGCTAATGAAAGCAGTGTGTGTGTTATAACTGGGTTTCTTTGGGGTTCAAACCATATGTGTGTATCTATGTAGAGTCTAGTCTTAAACTTTCTCCGTGTGAAAAATCTGATATATCTGTGTGCTAGTTCTTGCTATCAGTGCAGCTCATTCCATTTTATGTTGGACATATCTTTGAGGCATTTCAGTTTTTAAAGGGTACTTTCTGAATGCTAGTACAAACAACAAATTTCTCTAAAATGATCTGATCTGGCTACCCAAAACCCCACGTCCTTCTGAACCTTTTGGTTAGAGTAACTGAAAGACATCACTTTTGCTTAGGGTTAGCCATGAACATCCAATTGAAACAAAAGTTGTATTTTTTCATTTTTTGCTACTTAGATAATAGAAAGACGTGTAGACAAGCTTAAAATGTGGAAAATAAATTTGCAAAGTAGCTTTTTGATTGTGAGTGAGATTAAAGCTAACACATCTGCAGGAAAATAAAATCTGTAGTCAAGCAGGAGAGAGTCCTATGAGGCAGTAATGTCAAATCAGACTGCATTAGAAATTACACTGACCATCAGATTGGAAGAAATAACAAAAATTGAAAGAAATAGCTTTTATAGCATAACTTTAGTAGTCAGCATTAACACTGGTATTAACCCATTAGTGCCACTGCTAACTCCTTTTAGCTGAGGGAGTGGTTCTATGTCTCAAACACAACAATGAGTTATCTTGTAATGGATGAAGTAACTTGTCATGTCAGGCACTGGAATGGGCTTCCCAGGAATGTGGTGGAGTCACTATCCCTGGTGGCTTTGAGGAAATGACCACACATGGCACCCAGTGCTCTGGTCTGGTTGGCAGGGCAGTGACCAGTCAAAGGTTGGACTCAATGCTTTTGGAGGTCTTTTGCAGTCTAAATGATTCTGTGACAGTGTTCTTATGATGGATGGGATGTAGCACTTACTTGTGGAGATAAAGAAGAGTGTTTTTCATGGCATGGCTACTTCAGGGTAGGAAAACATTTTACATCCTGCTTGCACAAGGCTGTTGAACAGCACAGGTGGTGGTCTGCCTTTAGGAGGTACATAAGCCAGTGCTAATCTCTAACATCCATAAACTGCTGTAGATGATTGTTCTTAAGGAGTTTTTGTCCCATCTGAGATGAGAAACGTCTCCCAGCTGTCTTAGTTGCTTAGTCTTTCTAGGTTCTTACAGTTATAAAAGTAAAAACAGTGTCTTTTCTCAAAGGAGAGAACAGCTTGACAGCTTGAGATGTTTCTTCATGCTATAGATTAATGCTGCTTACAAGAGAGATACCCTAAGGATCCAATCATCTGTGCTGATAGTTTCATTTGGGTAAATAATGTGAATAATGTTTTGTGCATGGAAGTCTTTGAATGTGTGAATCACTTCAGGGTTGGGAACATTCAGGCAGGTTGGTGCTGGCAACAGCATGGAACAAAGGGACTCTTGGGTAAAACTCTGGAGTGATATCTCTTACATATCACTGAGACATGACTGGAGAACAGGCTCCCTAGGGAAGCAGTGGAAATGGTATTGTTTAAGACATTTAAAATTGGACAGGAGGAGATATATTTTAATCATCGATCCTGTGCTGGTATTTAGATCAAGTCTTGTTTCCTGTGAATGTTAATAGAAAGTCCCTGTCTCAAGTACATGCCATTATTCAGTGAGCATTACCAGATCACACTGGCTTGCAACCTTCCCCCATGTCTGTACTTGCCTTTAAAGGACAGCCTGCATGATGCTTAGCACCTGTGCCTTTTCTCTTGGTGCCTCAAGTGTTGATTTTGTATTGCCTTGCTTAGATTCTTCTCCTTCAGTGCTTCCACCAGACAGACTCCATATAGTACACAGAGATTTACAGGAAGCACATGTAGTTTGTGGCTATAATAATAAAGTCTCCTGCTATTTTGAAATCCCTGAGAAACTAAATCAAGTGTAGAGGTCTATTCAAAGGAAAAAAAAAAAAAAAAAAAGAGTGCAGCATGTGTATAAGTCACTTTACTATTACTGGCGTGGGTCTGCTTTGTTTGGTGTATTTGGCTGTCATCTCTTTGGGGTCTCTGTTCAGTCTCCAGAGTGCAACTAAGACATTACACACCTCAAATGGAAAAGCTGATGAAACAACCTAAAATAACCTGAGCACTCATGCTTTGCTTGCCTCTTTTTCAGTACCTCTGTGTTGTCATTACTGACAGGAGTCCATTCAGCAAAATTCATTCTGTGCCAGTGCCCCATATCAAACGAATCTAGGTCTGATCTGATTTATGGAGGCAGGAAAACTGGATTCATTTCCTGCATGGTGCTGTGGTCTTAACAGAGCTCTGTTTTCTTGGTGTGTTTCTGTAGGTACCAAGCCTCTCTTCTTGACCTGGTGGAAGCTATGAACCCAATATCAGCTCCAGGAAAGCTCGGCCAAGAACCTTGTGACAGGAACAAACCTCACACGCCCTGCAGTGTGAGCCACAGGCTGTCCACTTGGTGCCAGACCCCCTGCAGCCCCAGGAGCAGAGCAGATGAGCTGGAGGAGAGCCGGCTCCTTGAGGAGATCTTCTTCATTTGACACTACTCCTTGCTCTACAGCTACTCTGAAATTATTTGAGTGATCACTGCTTGTTTTCCCTCTTCTAAAACACAGCTAATTAGATCTAGGTTAATTTTGGATTTAGTGATCATGATGGAAGTATGTTGTTTGGGTATGCCAATCAGAAAGTGTTAACATTTTTTCCTAAACCTTTCATGTGCCAAGTAATCAATTTACAATAGCATTTTTTTTTAAATCTACAACATTTTCTAATACATTGAAGTTACAGTTTTGCCAGCCTTATATCGGAAGTATATTTCATTATTGATTTTTCTGGCTCTAAAGCAGTTTGCAAGAACTGCCTAACATTCAGCAACCATCATGTTCAAAGTAGATTATTTTCTAATTAAACAAGTCTGTTTAAAACCTGGCATATTATAAAGGTACAAGCACTTTAGTACTTTTTCACTGATTTTATGATCTACTTTTTCCTTCAACATTCTGATATTTAACACACTGAGTTTTTAGGGGATATATCATAAGCTTGACTCTACAGTGTCTGATAGTGTTAATAGATGATGTTGCAGGATGATGTACTAGGCACAGGTTTGAATTATATTCCTCTTTAAATCAGTGCTATTTGACAGAGTTTATGTGCTGGGTTATGTAACCCTGAAATAGCAGAACAGTCAGACATCGTAGAGATCCAAAACCTATTTGATGTACTTTTCAGGATGAAATACTTAGTAGTGCTAGTATAAAAGCAGTCTTAAGACATTTTCACTAACTTGCACTATTTTGATCCTGCATCCAGGCTCCATTGTAAATAAGACAAATCAGTAATTATTTCTACCAGCAGCTCACAATGCACACTTTTCTGCCAGCTTTAATTATTCATGCTGTATCTATTTCAGTTTATTTAAATGCATTTCCATCTACTGCATGTACTTGGTTATTTAAAGAAATGTGCCGAATTGGTAAAAATGACTGCACATTACAGGATTAATGGTCATTTTCTCCACAATGTAGTGTTCATATTTTATTGTAACAGTAGCCACCGGCATGTGTTCCTAGAAATATGAGACTAAAATATTCATTTTGCACAGTAAAATTGCAGCAAGGGAAAGGTAGAATTGATCCAGTACAGGCAAGTTCTAGGCCATTTGCTCCCAAGCACCACTTCATGGGCCAGTACTGCTTTTCAGACAGTCTCTTTAGGCAACCCTGCTTATCTTAACGGCTGGGTTGAGTTTCTGTACTGATGCTTGGGGTATGGCTGCTGCCTGCCTCCCCGTGCTGCACCTGTGCAATGTGTGATGCTCTGTGAGGTGGATCTCAGACAAGAGCACCACAGCCCCTGGCAGCAGTGTGCTCCATCAGTGAAACAAAAGGAGAGTGAAGGGGAAGAAGAACCTCAGGTTACACTGGGCTGCTTCATTCAGGCCCAGTCATAATCTCAAATTAGGTTATATCCTTTCTGTGCATCCCAGCTGAATTTTAAAAGCTGCTTAGAGGAGTTTAAAGGAGGAAAGCAGCATTGCTGGACCAGAAAATTACTGCTGTGGAAAGTCCCTGCATGGTCTGTCCTGCTTTTAGTGAGGTATTACAGTTTTCTGGAATATGTCCATCTGCTGTTGAATGTCCCTCTTGTTCTACTCCCTGAGCCTGTGAAGGCCCAGGTTTCTGCTAAGAGTCCCAAAAATGTATTCAGTGCCCTGGCCCAGGTACGCCAGATTGGAGCATAAGTTTTCTTGTTCCGTTGCCTGAGTAATCTGCTGCTTAAAGAGGGCAGGAAAAAGGAGGTGAAAGAAGAGAAAAATATACAAGGACCAGCAGGAAATTTTGGGGATAACCATCACATAGATCTCAGAGTTTGGGGTTGTTCCATGGTGTTTTTTTACCTTTGTTGGTGTTTTCTTTTTAATTGCTGGCATTTATAGAGAAAGAGTTATCTTATTTCAGTTCAATTGCTGCTTGTCTCTTTTCCAGTTTGACTGAAACTTTAGTTGCCTTTTCTTATGAATGCTAACTGACTTTTCAAAATAGCAAAAAATATATGTATATTTCTTGAAAGGTGCCTTTGTGTTGAGAACACTCCATGGGAGCATTCTGTTCTGTGATTTTTTTTTGTGTGTGCCAGTATTTTACTGCTTTGGGATTTCTTATGATCACTTAAAAAATTCTAATTCTGAAGGTGACCTTTGGCTTGGATCTATATTTTTTGGTTGTAGCTCTTTTTAAAAGGACAGTGTGAGGGTTGCGGGCTCTATGCTGAAGGTGCTCTCTCTTAGTCAGACCTATACAGGGGGCACACCTTTGTGAATCAAAATTTTCAAGTAAAAGATGGTTGAAATGCCTGATGTGTGAAGAGCTGTATGCTTTAACTCTCTATGAGATGCGGACAAAAGAAACAAAAGCTATTAATTTCATAGACCCTGTGGAAAGTAATTTTTTATTATAATGCTGTCTTTTGCTCTAGTTATCAGCAGTACATTAGGAATAGTGTTTAGCAGTCAGTGCAAGCAAAGATATTTTGCCATGAGGCACTACAAAGTTGAAGTTATTAAAACATTTATAGCCTTAGAAAAAAAAATCAATGAGTGTCAAATAGGAAAGGACAAAATCAGTAGTTGGTACTGGGAGGGAAATTGTTTTCCATCTGTTAAAACAGTAGAGGAAATGCAAAAATTAAACTAGCAAAAGCAATGACGTGACAGTGTCCTTTTAAGTTTGAGCTTCTATATTGGGAGCTGCTGTTGGGGAGTTGGTCCAGCTAAATTGTTTGTCCAGAGTGTTCCCAGTGGATATCCTTCAGCTGCACATGAGGCTGTGTTTTCCACGAGGCTTTGTGGAGTAACATGACTGCTGCTAAGGCTCCTACCCACACCTTCAGTTTATGTCCTTCCCATGTGGTTTGTGCACACACACTTGATGGCTGTTTGTGTAGTTATTGCTTTTGTGCACCTTGCACATCACAGACCTGTAATAATCACACCCTTTTAATTTCTAGCGTTTCCAGTCTTGCTGTTGAATCCCATTGCAAGCACGTATTTATATGTGTATGTGAGGTCTTAATCTAATAAATTATCTGGAGGTTTAATTTATTCTTCCAGACTTTTATTTGGCTTATCTTCTGATTTTTGTCCAGCTCAGCTGTCAATACTGCCATTGACAATGCTTTCCACTTTCCACAACATCACATCATACTATGTTGTGAGTCTCCAGTTTGCTAAGGTTCATGAAGAATTTGTTTAAACCTTTCTCTTCCTCTCCAGGACATGGGTCTTACTGTGAGAAGGAGCAAGGCCTCCTTTGGAGCGTGAAGTAGGAGAGAGGTCTCAAAATACAAAGGAGAAGAGACTTGAAGAACCAGCACCATATTTTGGGACAAAAAAATGAATTAAAGAGTAAGGAAGAAAGGATGGAGATGAAGGCAAGAAAGGACAAAGATGCAAGGCAGGTAACTGTACCTAAGGTGGAGATGAAGTAGGAGTGAGCCAGAGGGCAGGGATGAGTTGTTAAACTAGAATAAGCTGGTGAAGGACAATTCTGTGCTTGTAAAGTGAGAAATGTTTTTAAACACTGGTTCCCGTAAGAGCCATGTGACTCCACACCCTTTTCCAAATCATGTTACTGCATTTGAGGAGCTACTGTCCAAGGTATGCTTGGCAAATGAGGGAAAGAAGGAAATTACCTTGACCTAACTTTAGCATCTCCCCTTTGGAGCAGCTGGGCAGGGAGGCCAGAGCACATGGAGAGCAACTGTGCAGAACCTAGGTATAACCCAGGGCATGGACTGAACTTAATTGCTTGCAAGGGATGGCGACTTAAATAATGAAGAATAGGAGACTGGAGAGCAAGAATCAGAATAAACAAATAAAATTTGCAGTGATTCAATGAGCTGTGAAGGTTTGATGTTGAGGAAGGAGAGAAATGAGCTTAGCTGCACTTCAGCGGTATTGAGCCTGAGCTATCCAAAAGACAGCCCTTGAAAGTGAATGTGAGCCTGGGGTTAAACTTCAGAAGTTGTAGCAGAGATTTTCTCAAATACGACCTCCAGGCTGTGTTTGAATTTGTACCATCTGTGGGGGAGAGAGAGCACAGCCTGGTTAGTTAGAAACCTCCTTTTTCACTGTTACTAAATTTATGAAATTGTGTGCTAATTAGTGTATGATTTATAAATTTACATAACTGCATGCTCATAAGACAACACAGAATATTGAATGAGGTGATTTAAACCAGCAGAAGCAATGTAGTCTGCTCTGACTGGGTGGCTTTCCTCTGGAAAATGCCTCTCCCTATCCAGACCTGCTCCCTGCATCATTGGAAGGCTCGTCTGCTCACAGTGACAATAAATGTTTTAAAATATTGTGACTCCATGTAGCTGAAAGACATCTAGCTTGAGAATCTCTGGCACAGCTGTGCAGCAGAGCTTACATGGTGGTCCTTGACTAGGGTGTTTGAAAGCAGAATGCACCTAAAAAACAGCAAGAAACCCAGCTTGGCCTAGCCAGTGTTGGTGCTTGAGGACTCCTGCATTTGCTAATGGAGATGGAAGAGCATCCCAGCTGCAGGAAAAGGATGGGCTGGTGGGGAACTGTATTTGTTTTCCAGCTGCAGGGAAGCCAGTTTGCCTCCCTCCAGCATGCTGTGGGTTCTGTTCTGAACTGTGTTTAGTGCCACATCTCAGAGGGGTTGTGACCTATATCAGTGCCCACAGTAGAAGGCACTGGAGGTATCCACCAAAATGTGTCTGTGAACTGTAATCTGTAAGCAGAAACATACGGGCCAGACATTTCTGTTGAACAGAATCTGAAGCTCTCAGGCTTCATGTATTTTGAGTCTTGAAGGGAGGTTTGAAGGCACTGGGGAGCTAAAATGGAAAAACTCAGCTGTCACTAAGAGGTGAGGTCCTGACATATGTGAGGTGAGAGACGCCCAGGTAGTCCCAGCAGATGACCTAATCCATGAACTGCAGTGAGAGCCTAGTTTCCTTGATTCAGGATTCATCCTGAGTATGTAAAACAAAATAATTTTCACTCCGAGCATGCAATAACCATTGTGAGTTCATTCTTTCTGGTCTCCTGGTCTGCAGACAAGAGGAAAGTGAAAAGCAGAAGAAAGGTGTATTTCCTGGTTCTTACTGGCAACTACATTAAAACCTTGAAGCATGGGTTTCATTAAAGCACTTGCCCATATACAAAGTGTTGAGTATTGTGAGCATTAAGAACAGAGTGGGAACTCCTCTCCTACACCTGATAATGAAAGAAAGGACAAAATGAATTTACAGACACAAAATCTAGAATTAGAGGTGACTGTGAGAAAGTAGCATTGAAACTTTGATAGTGCCTTTTCAAAATCTTCCAGCATGCAATTATTCTTGCTGCTACAAATCTGAGGTTATCTAGCTGAATTTCCAGCTGCTGGACTTTTGTTGTGCCTTTAGAAGGAGGATTACAAAGTTGCCATGTTGCCAGACCGAGTACCCCAAAGGGAATGATAATCTCCTGGTAGAGCCTTCTCTTTGTTGAGATGGCTTTGTGTCTTAATGTTTTTTTCAGCCTCTGGATAACTTGGAGGGCCTGTTTCTGAACTTTGCCTAGCATTTATGCATTTTGAAAGGTTTACACAAGATCAGGTTACCCAGTTCCAATGCTGCTGATATGAAATGGTGTCAGTGTTCTCTCATTTCTGTACAGACTTTCCTTTTTGTCACTTTCAGAAGTGGTTGGGGTTTTCTTGTTCTTGTTGTGGGTTTTTTTTTTTTTTTTTTTTTTTTGTTTGGTTTGGTTTAGTTGTTGTTGTTTTGTTTTGAAGTGTTGGGCTGAGTACCAGGTCTGACTGCATTTCAGATCATGGTTCTGTTTCCTGAAGCAGGAATTGTGTAAGAAGTGAAACCAGGAGGTCCTGCTAAATTTAGAAAAGATGAAGAGGAAAGAATAACGTGAAGTAGAAGTACCAAGCAGGAAAGAAAAAGATTGCAGCACTCAGCTTGGGACAGAGCATGAACTTGTGGGTGCAGCACCTGTGAACTCAGACATCTTGACAACAATCTGCCAGACACATTCCTGATGAGATGGGGGAGACCCAGACAACACAAACTCTCAGAAGGAGAAGAGTGAACAAAGCACAAGGCAGTGATAGCAACAAAAACAGACTAGAAGACTTTCGAGCTGCAGGTGGGGAGGCAACTGACATCTCTGAATTGCAGAGGAAATGGCTCCTTGTCAGTAGAGCTGGTGCCCCTCTATTTGCACTTGTGCCTTTAGCATAGGGATCTCATTACCAGAGAGCTTACTGGCAGATTTGAGAGATCACAGTGAGGAGTAATAAAAATGATCAGGGACTGCTATAATTGACATAATGAGGAAACAAGATGAGAAGAGTCAGGTATTTATAGCATGGGTGAGAGAGACAATTAAAAGGTGGGGTGGGAGATGGACTGGATGACCTGAAAGCCTTGTCTGCTTCTTATAACTCCTTGTCATGTGCTGAACAGAGGACTTGAATTTACTGAGGCTGTCAGTATGACTGTTAACAGCCCTAACTTCATGTGTTGGAAAGCTCAGGTGGGTGTACTCTGGCTGTATTGGCAGTGTCAGGATGTCACTGGTGCTGTACTTTGTTTAAAAAAGTAGTCATCACCGATGTTGTGGAAAAAAATTGACATGCTGGCAGTAAAGAGAAAAAAATTAGGCCTTCATAAAGTAACAAGCCATAGAAAACCTTGCTGAGGGAAGGGGCTGCCTGGGAAGGGCTGCCTGGTTGTTCAGCTGATGATGCTGAGCTCCTTCTGCTGCCTGCAGGGTGACCTGTGGAGAAGGAAGGTCCATGGGGAGGGAGAAGACGTGAGAAATTTCCTCTGTGAGGTGTCACCCAGCTGTGCATGCAGCTGAACAAAACCACTGCTCCCCAGGATGCACAGATGTGCACAGGCTGTTGTCCCAAACAGCTGCTGAGCTCCACAGAGAGCTCTTGGAGCAAATTCTGGGCCAGGCAAAAGCTTGCCAATCCCACTGATAGATAGCTACAGCCATGTGTGGTGTTTTGCTTCCCTTCTTAGTCCATCCATGTGTGTTCCTGCACTGGGGCCAGGGTCAGTGTCCAGGTGGTGTTTTAGAGCTCTGTGTTTGCTCTAGACTTGGGAGACTGCAGCAGATTGCAGGCAGCCAAGCTGGAGACATCTCAGCTCCTGGGTTGCAGTCAAATTAAAACATTGCTATGGAAAGCAACGGGGCTGCATGTGTTGGAGGTGCTTTGGGGAAATATCACAGCAGTGCTTGTTGAGTTTGGTGGCGGAGTAGTCACTCTGTTTTAATGATACCTGTGTGCAAAGGCCACAGCTGCTGTCATCTGTTTAACATTAGTCTCACTTTCACAGAGCAGACATAGCCTAGGGTGGTGGAAAGGAGAGAAAGGTGACCAAGAAAAAGAAAAAAAAAAAAAGCCATTCATTTTCCACCATTTTTTCCATCCCGCTGAACTGCAATACCAGTCTGTGGCTGAACAACAGTAATCTTATCCAGTGTACTGTTGATTTAAGCCTCTTGGATATATATAACTTTGGAAATGGTAAACTATATTAATTTGCTATGTTTTCAAGGGAAAGTTATTTATTGAGAGACATTTTTAACTCAAGTGCCAGGAGCCTTAAATCATTATAATAAATTCATGCTATTCAGGGTTTCTTACATTGTAATAAATTTGTTTTAAACATGAATGAGAAGATCCATGATTTCTTTAATATACTGTTATGTATTTCCTTTCAAAATGACACAGCTCACTATATCAAGTGAGAGAATAATAGTGAGAGATTTACAGCACTTAAGAATAACACAGCCTGGGAATGTGACATGTGAACCAACACAGGGCAGGGGGGCTGGAAGCTGCAGGGAGCCCACCACTACTCCCGGTGGCCCTGCCCAGGGTTAAACAGCAGCAACGGGTTAAAATCAGTGAGTGAAACCACAGCTGGGAGGCTTCTTGTGGGGTGGGAATCACAACATGGCCTTGCATTTGCTTCCCATTTTAATGAGAAACAAGCACCTGAAAGGTGACAAGGTCCATCTGCCATGACCTGAGAGGGTAACTGCCCAACAGCTGCCTGACTGGTATGAGAGCTGTGCCAGAGGTTTGCTTGCTCCCTTTTACCATGATCTCATCCCCTCTGGCCATGGTGGTGTGTGGGGAGCAGACCCCTCAGCGGTGGCCAGTGGCCCTGGAGTGTGGCGAGGAGGCACCAGGTAAGCACTCAGATAAATTTCTTACTCTGTTCTTAATCCCTGACTCTCCATTAAACCCCTGCTGACCCTTTTGCTCACTGTTACACATGGACAGCTGTGAGAACAGGACAATAAAACTTGCAGCTGGCTTTACATCATGTCCTTTGAGCTTCGCAGGGAGGAGGAGCTGACACAGACACAGCCTTGGTGGTGTCAGCATCCGAGGGCTGAGACAGGCCCACTTTGGCAGCATATTTCTGGCTTTTCGGGGAAGCAAAGCCCTGTGCCTCATGTAACATCTGCTGAACTTGTGTCCCAGCTTCATCTCATCATGGAGTGCTGCAGAAACAAGATCTCGTGTTTGTGGTGACCTTGGGATCGAGGTTAACTGGGGCAAAGCATTACAGTGCCCAAACCACAAAGGCCAATTGGTTTCCTGGTGTCTAATGACAGCAGTTACCCCACCGAGATACCAAAAAACCTTCCAGCTCCTCAAGGCACAGCCTTGCTGTAGAGACTTGAGGAGCTGTCCTGCCAAAATGTGAAAGGCTGTGCTTCTGGATGCCTGTGCATGGAGCCAAGAGCACTTTCCTGGCTCTGAAGGGTTAATAGGTCTTTGGTGGGTGTGGCTGTAGCAGACTGTAATTAAATGGTGCTAGTGCCTGGAGGAAGGGGACAGTCCTGCTGCTGCTCCTCACCTGGCTGCAGGTGAGGTGTAGGACAGTGAAGGGGGCTGATGGTGCCCTGAGGTTGTCTGTGGGCTGCTGGCATCGAGGGGTTGGACAGCTTGGGAAAGGATAGGAGGGACTCTCGTGCTCAGAGAAGTGATGGCAGGACCTCATCTGTCAGCGCAGAAAAATGTCTGGCTAATAAACTTGCCAAACGTCCCTAATAAAGGGCTGGATGTGTTATCATGTGGAATGGTTTTATAGGGGACAGCCATAAAACCTGCACATTGCCCTTTAAAATGCCAGGACAAGGATTGATTCCAGCAGGGCGGAGGGAGAGGAGGAGGGGAAATGAGGCTAATTGGAAAAGGGGGATAAATCCAGGGGCTCATTTCTCTGCCATGGGTCCCCAAGGTGTCAAGGAGTAGTAACAAAGTGGGATTCATTGCCTTATGGGCTGTGACCGAGCCTGGGCTTCTCTGCTGTGTCCCCACCACCCTGTGCAGTGCTGGGGCATCCTTTCTGGCATCTGTTCCTGCTGCAGGACTCTTGCTCCCTCTGGCACACAGGCCAGGGAAAACTATGGAGATGCCTCCATCAGCCTCCTCCTCATCTGTACTTCTCCTTTTAATCCCAGGAGTCCAACACCCGTTTCCTCCTCCTGCCAGTTCTGGTAGCTGTGCTCTGCCTGCCTGGTGGTCCCATCACCAGCTCATCACTCCCACTCCTTCCTGGAATGTGGGAGTGCATCACTACTGAGGGGTGAAACGCAAAAACAGCAGTTTTGTGTCCCCTGTTCCATGGACAGGGCCCATTCTGTCCTGCGGATGCAGATGTGTATCTGTGTTCGAGCTCTGCTTGAGTAAACAGGAGAGGGGAAGCTGGAGGGAGGCCCAGGGTGTGTTTAGTAGCAATCAATAAATGTATTGTACTCCAGCTCACTTTTAATGCTGCAGAAAACAGGCAGTGATTTCACTTAATAAATGTAGACAGTATTGCAGAGCTACAAGAGCATCTATCACATAACACTGAATTTCTGCACCACAGGGCTGCATGTGACTGCTGCCTGGTACTACCCACAGCTGAGGCCCATCAGCTACCACTGGCACAGGGGCCAGCCTCTGCTTTTTCATTTCCTCCTTTCAATTTCCCTGGACAGAGACACTGGGCGGCCAAACCTCTATGAGATCTGGTGGAGGGAGAAATAAAAAAACCCCAATCTCCTCAAAGTCACTGAAAACCTGTGTGTTTTACACTGGGTGGAAGGTGGGCAGGTACTGGAGAGATGGAAGAAGAGCCAGGAAAAGCCAGATTTTTTGTTGGCCAGGACTGCTTCAGAGAAGTTTGTCAGGGTGCATTTTTTGGTATGTGCCGGATCTCACTTGTCTGCCTACTCTGTGTATGTGGCACTGCCAGATTTCAAATTTGCTGAGTTCCTGGCAATCCCCATTGGAGCTGGAGGTGACACCCCTTGGATGGAGGCGGTGCAGGTGGGGCGCCTGTGTCCCCTGGCTCTGGAAATGCTCTTTGGCTACCCATGGTGATGGACAGAGATTTTGAATTCTCCAAGCTGAATAGTCCATGTCTTTCACCCCTGTTCCACAGTTGTGAAGTTCAGAACAATGTCTAGGCTCCTGAGGTCTGGATTTGCTTCTTTGCTCCCTCTTGGCTCAGGCCCATCTCTACTGTACTCACCACAGTGAAATTTTCATTGAACACAGTTTTAGTTCTGGATTTGTAATTAAATTTAAGGGCTGGTAAATTTTGCTATGAACATTTTTCTGGCTCCACTCCTAAGCATTTGGTCTGTTCAAATAATACTTAGTGCTTTGCAGATGCTTTTGGATGTTACACTGCCAACCACAAGTATGGAAAAAAAAAAAAAGCATGATTTAGAAAAATAATAATGCACTTGAGGTCTTGTTTTTTCTTTTATTATTATGCTTCAGAGCTTTTTCCAATGTTTTTTCAGTCATAAACTTACGTGGCATGTAGGAATATCATCCTAGCACTTGACTTCAAGAGCTGTGACCTTTCCACTTCATCAAACCTATGATCAAAACATGGGCATGGCAGCACTGCCCATAATTGCGGAGTTATAAAATTTCCTCCAATCTCCAGTAATAAGGAAAATCAAATCTTCAGGTGGAGCTTAGTAGTTCACCCTGAAAGAGTTCCATGTCATTCTAAATGGCCATGTAGTGATTTCTGGGCACCTCTCTGCTTTGAGACCTGTGGGAGAATTAACTCAAATTCATTTTTAAAGGGGATTAATTAAACTGAATCAGGACTTCGTTTTAACACTCAGAATTAAGATGAGTTGAAGTAAGACTCCTTCAATTAAGCAAAAGAGATGAAGACCTCTAAATGAACATGCCTGAGATGCTGCTGGTGTGGTGTGACCAGTCCTGTTTTCATATATTAAATTCAGACTAAATGACCTAGTGTAGACAAACTGGGATGTTAAGACTGGCTGTGATCACACTGGGAATATCCACCTTCCTAGGTGTTTTGTGAGGGGACAGAATGTGTGTAAGATGCAGCTTGATCTATAAAAAGAGACAGTCAGTCTTGGTCTGTTCAGAGTCCAGTGACACCATGGAGCTTTCAGAGGTTTAGCAACAGACATACTTCTTAAAAAAATAAAAATTGCAAGTCATTAATCAAGGATGGGAAATCTCAATAGAGAAGGTAAACTGTAGATAAGAGCTCCAAAACTTTTGTTTGACCAAGTTGTACCATATCACTTTGACTGGGGTTTCTTTGTTAATTTACGGGGAGGAGAGGGGTTAAAGTTTAATCAGCTTTTGTGTACATTGGGAAAAATTTTACTTTTAATAAAGACTCAGACTCCTTTAGCTAAGTAGATACCAAGGTGATGTGTGCACTGTGTACACTTCAGACAGTTTCTTTTTCTTATCTTTGCCATCAGTTTCTTGGCTGTGAAGTCTGATGTCTGAAACTCTGCCAGGATTTCTGAACAGAGTCCTTCACATGGGATTTCTCCACTTTTAGTTCCCATCTCAGGGTGTAAGAAGTTTTCTGTTTACTTTTGTCTTTGTCTTTCCCTCCTGTCTGATTTCTTCCAGCTGGGGATCTGACACATGATTTACTCTGTGTGTTGGAGACACTCTCTAAGTATCCGTGGGCACTTCTTTTTAAGAGGAGACCTGGCCAGCTCACTTTCCTGCAGCAGAAGTGTTCAGAGTGTAGTGGGAGTAGGAGAAGGTCATGAAATTGTTCCTTCAAGGTTTTTGCCAGTGTGTATTCATATGAGATTTTTCCAATATCCAAATAAGGCTGTTAAATTCTCAACTGGGGTGTCTGAGGAGCATCTCATGGCTTGGAGCTCGAGATCCACCCATGGCATGAATGTTCCAGTGGGTCTCAGTGTAAAGTCCAGCTGGGAAAGGACAGATTCCCACAATGCCATGCCTAAACCCACTTGCATGTCTCCTGATCAATAACCCATCATGCAGTGTAAGACACCAGATGTGCAAAAGAACTGCCTAAGTACCCCCTAGAAAATGCCAGGAAGAGGTCTGGGCCAGCCTTTGTGGTCCTTTGAAGAGCTAGGGCAGCCAAGATGAGGTATGCCAAGGCTTCTGGGGAGCTGAAATACCTGAGTGGGAAGAGCTGCCCTGACAAGTTCTTTGAAGGGCTGGGGGTGCTAAGGACAGCCGAATGTGCTGGTTATCCAGAGTGATTTGCTAAAAGTCCTTTAGCAGGTGAAAGCTTGGACGAACTCTACAGGTCACTGCCTGCTCTCACACAGCCTGGGGATCACCCAGCCTCTCCTGGGTCAGTGCTGTTGAGCTGGTACAGTGTTC